TTAATTCTCCTTTAATCAATCGTTTTCTGAGTTCTGCTAATTCCTGCCTTGAAAAGGAGGTGCATTCTACTGATTGCTTCATTTTCCAATTTGATTACCTTTTTTACTACTACTGGCTTGCTGGAGTATTTTGCAACGACCTTCTGTGCTAGTGATCTTCCCTTGTCAGTGTCCTCCTGCAGGTGATGGATTGTCTGTAGTAATATTCCTACTACCTCCTGTGGTGGCGCTCTTTCTATTGCAGTGGTTCTCAACCTTCTGGCCCTTTAAATAAAATTCCTCAAGTTGTGACCCCCAACCATAAAATTATTTTCGTTGCTACTTCATAACTGTAATTTTGCTACTGTTATGAATCATAATGTAAATATCTGATATGCAGGATGTATTTTCAGGGGTCGCGACCCACAGGTTGAGAACCGCTGCATCTATTTTAATTACCTGCTTTAGGGGAAAATTATTGAATTTGTTTACATAACACAAAAGAGGTACTTCATAGTTAAATTTCCCCTAATATTGGAATTCTACAGTAGAAACTGGAATGATGAATTGACTTTGTTGTCCATTTATTTCCTAAACATAGAGGTATCAAATGACAAATACCAGATAATTTTTATAAATCACTCAAAAAATGGGGAGTTAGTCATATCTATTATTTGTAAGTCATAGTCTACAAATGCACATGCCCTGAAATTTTTACTGATTAGACTGTAGAATCTTTCGGACAGGTACAACAGAGAGTGATTAAAAGGATGATCCCTGGCATCATATATATGTTCCATCAAGTAGTAACATTTGCAATTTAACCTCTCTGCATCTTAAGTTATTCAGTTGATATATAGGCATACTAATAATAATGCCTTCCATCAAGAGTTTTTTTGAAGACTATATAAGATAAGAAAATAGTTATGTTCTTCTCTGCTTTAGTCCCTTTGATGACTTCCCATTCCCTTCTGATAAAATCCCCAAACCTCAGAACGGCCTATAAGGCCTTACATAATGTACCTGCCTGTCCCTCCAGCTTAATCTTGTTCTATTCTATTCACTACCCAGCTGATAGACTTTCTTTCAGTTCCTCCAAAACAAATGATCTTTACAAATGCTCTTCTTTGCCTGGAATATATCTCTATTCACCCCCCCCCCCCCCCCCCCCCCCCCCGCCCCACACAGCCTGCTCCTCAGTCGTTTGGTCGTCCCTCACTAACCCCCCTGCCAGCCTGGTCGCCCCATGCAGCCTTCTATTCGGTTGTTACTGTGACGGCATCCTGGACAATTTGCATATTCCTCTATTATTAGTATAGGTAATTGGACCTATCAACTCTGCAAATCAATGTTTTGCTCATCCCCAGAACTTTTTTACATTGGAGGGAACTACATTCAGTTTCCTGTTAGTTCTGTTCCTCATTTCAGTGTAAATTCTGAGAGCAGATATGACAGATCATATTTCTCCTGTTTAAATCCTGGGTGTTTCAGGTTCTGTGTCAGGCAGTCTTAGCTATACGAGTTATGAGGACACGTGAGGAAACACTGTAAAATGGGAGTGTAGCAGAGAGGCCTGGAAGAGACAGCTGTAATGATGATCTAGCCCCACTGCTTGCCTAACAAATGAGAAGTGGGATGCCTGGACCAGCTGAGTGACGGGCCCCTGTCAGAGCCAGGACAGGACTGACGCCTCACTTTGCATGTGGCCTGTGAAAAGCGAATTGTTAGGAAGAAACCCTTTCAAAGTTTGAATGTCCCTCTGGAGTATAATGGTGCAGGGAGGTTTTATGTTACTTCATGGTAAAATTATAGCTTGCCCTCTGTGTGTTCTGTTCCTTCCAGAGCACATTGTTTCACCTATTTTTATGCTCCCAACCTTTCTTCAGTGTTTGATTGCACATCATCAAAATATATCGTTTTCATTTTATTTATTGATTTTTAGAGGGAGGGAAGGAGGAAGATAGGACGATTGATTTGTTGTTCTGCTTATTTATTCATTGGTTGATTCTTGTGTGTGCCCTGACTGGGGATTGAACCCGAAACCTTGACATATCTGGACAATGCTTTAACCAACTGAGCTACCCAGCCAAGGCCCATAAAAATAGTTTTATTAGTAGTACATCCCTGTTCCTTTTTTCCACCTGTGTTTAATCATTCTTTTTGGAATGTCTTCCACTTTTATCTTCCACTCATAAACATGAGTGATAAAACCTTGGGGATATTAAAAAGTGGGGGGGGAGAAAGAATGCAGGAAGGTTGGTGTTTGGGAACCTTTTAGACTTGCTAGTGTGCAAGATCATTTTAAAAATGGACATTGGGTCCTGGCCATGTGGCTCAGTTGGTTGGAGCATCCTGTAAACCTGAAGGTTGCGGGTTCAATTCCCAATCAGGGCACCTACCTACCTAGGTTGCGGGTTCGATCCCCAGTCGGGGCGTGTACGAGAGGCAACCAATTAATGTTTCTCTCTTTCCTTCCCTTCCTCTCTCTAAAATCAATGAACATATCCTTGGGTAAGGATTAAAAAATAAATAAATAATGGACACATTGGGATGTAATGTTCAGTGTGTTAACTAAAGGTAATACTATGTCATAATTTGAAAGTTACTAAGATAGTAAATTTTAAAATTTATCACGGGAAAAAAATTGTAACTATGTGAGGTGATGGATGGTTACTTTATTGTGATCATTTCGCAAAATACACATATCAAACCATGGTGTATATCTAAAAATAATACTGGTTTTTATGTCAGTTCTATCTCACTAAAACTGGGGGAGGGGGGATATGCACGCATTATTTAATAGTATTGTAGTTTGCATACCGAGAGTAAATCATTCCCATTTCCCTCTCTGCTCAAAGTGAAATCTGAAGTTATATCCACTACTTCCATAGACTCATTCGTCCTTTAATTCAACAAATAGTTGGGCATTATTTATCTGATAGGACCTCTTCTGGGCATTTGGGATATGGCAAGCAAAGCAAGGTCCTTGTCCTCAAGTAGTTTACATTTTAGTGGGGGCAGGAGGACAAAAAAGAAATAAATATGTGTTAGGTGAAGGTGATGAGAAAAGGTCTCTGTAAAGGTAATGTTTGAGAAACCAAGATGGCGGCATAGGTAAACACCGGAAATTGCTGCCTCCCACAACAACTTCAAAAATACAACGAAAAGACAAAACGGACATCATCCAGAACTACAGGAAGGCTGGCTGAGTGGAAATTCTACAACTAGAAGGAAAGAGAAAAGCACACTGAGACTCAGAGGAGCTG